GCTAATGTATCTTCCCCTTCCACAACTAAAGTTCCCTGCTACACCTCTTGCTGTATGATAACGTCTCTGCTGTGTATTTTGTCTTGTTGTTGTTCACTTAGAGGCTCTGAGGAGTTTTTTATGTAAAGTGCATTTATTAGGAATAGGGACATGGGGACAAAAACCTTTTTTTTTTTTGTTAATAGTATGTCAGTGCATGTTTGTTCTATGGTCAAGTTTTTTGCTGAGGTTGTTAAAACACTCTTGCAGTATGTGATGGTTTATTCAGTATATCCCCAAAGGTTTGTAGTGTAAAGTTGATTTGAGATTTGCCCCTATATTCCTTAGTGATTTAATCACATATAGATGAAATGTAAGTTTCTGGTAATTAGCATTACAGTAATCCCTCTCCTGCCAAAATGAAGAAGCCTTGCTTACGGTGTTCACTTTACGTTGTTTATTTGAGGATATTCCTAGCTTTTATACCACAGGATTAAAAACAGGTTAAACAAATCGACTGTAACATGTTAATCTCATGTTATTTGTATGCTCTTTTTAGCAGTGATTATTTTTACAGTACTTCTTCAAAGTGTGTTTAAAAACAAGGACCTATCATGATAAACAAATGTAATGTATTTGTATGTAACCTAATCAGTCTTCATGCCAGTCTTCTACTTACCCCCTTATACGTTTGAGTTGTTTGCTGATCTGCAATCAAGTTTTCACCGTCAAACCTTGTTTTTTTTTTTTGTTCAACTCAATCTGATGAATTACATTTTTAAGAACATCGTGTCACTTTATCCACATATGAAATGTTCATACCCGTCAAGTTTTTTGTTTTCTTAAAAAAAAAAAATTCTAGTTTTAGTAGATTTCTATCACATTATTTACTGAGAAGTCAGTAGTTGATTATATTTCAGCAATGAATAAACCTTAAGTGTAATCATTTGTTTCTCTTTTATTTCATATCAGTAACATACAAGCAATAGAGTATAGTACAAGAAAAAGAGTGAACCTTATCCAAAGTTAGCAATTCATTGAGTGAACCAAAGTCTTTCAGGATGCAGTTCTATAACAACAAATTTCATTGTGTCAATTGCTTGAGGATATTTAATGGTTTTCAATAATCAACTTTAACACTGTCCATCCAGTCAGGCACTTTCTACACCAGCCTAACCCTTGTAGGGGGTTTGGTTGCTTCCATGTTCAGTGGATGGGAGGTCCAAAGAGTTTTTCAGGAAATATAAATATTACCCTGGAACAACAAAAAGCCCTTTTATTGAATCACTGTGCCAGTGCAGCAGGGAATGGAGGTGGCTCTGCTGGGGTGTTAAAGTCCAGGTTGTTTTGATGCCTGGCTTCAGCTGGTCTTCATTGTTGGCTCTGGTATCTGGTCTATTAGGCAATAAATAGAGAGAGTTCAGGTCAGGTGGCTTCCCTGCTTATCAGCTTACCACACTTGTTTTTTTCTTAACTTTTCATTAACACAATTGGATACTTCAGGCTGTGAACAACTTATTTAGAAATGACATTTTGCTGTTTATTATTTTAAAGTCAGTCCTGCGAAGGGTTGTGTGGGCTATAGCAAACCAAATACTTCTGTATGAAAGCTTCAGAACTGACCAGTGGTTGAATATATATTGATCTATGTGTGAAGAATTAGTAAACTATGGGCTTATTTCTTTGAATTGAACTAATATAATAAATTTGATTTTCACATTTTTTCACTCCTTTAGCTGCTCTCACTCGTGGCGCCACAAGATGGCAGTAAGCAACTCGCTATAGTGATCTTGGCCTGGTGGGGATGAGTGGGGCGGTCACATGGATGAAACTGTGATAGGAGAGGTCTGGTGAGGTTGGGTGTTGGATCAAGTATGTGAATGATGTGGCTGTTTTTGTTTACTACAGGATTAATACCTCACAGTAACCAAAGTAATCTAGCAGCCGTGTAAAAGTTATTTTTTAAAAATTAAATGACGTAAAGTTTGAGCTTTCTTCTGATGTACATTTGGAGCAGTAAAGCAGAGTTTGGGATTTATTTTGCTTGTACTTTTAAACATATGTGATTGATACATTTTAATGTGAGGTTCACTGATCATCAATCAATAAGGGACATTGTTGATCTGGGATAAGTGGAATCAACAATCTTACTGCCTAACGTGTTGACGCACTGTTATTAGTTATCCGTACAACAGCCATGAAATGCATTGCTATGTTGCCATGTTTAATCTTCTTGAACCTCTGCATGAGTCAGGAGGAAGACAGGTGAATTCCTGTGGCGCGCTTTGTTTTCGCACGCGCTTTGCAATGTACAGTAGACGAGACAAACCCTCGCGCTCTCTTCCCTCTCCTCTCTCTGGTCTCACGCGGCAGTAGCATGCACGCGGGGGGGAATCCAAGCGGGCGGGTTTGTTCGACCTATTTCTGGCCAATGGCTCTCTCTCCGGGGGCGGGGTAACCGCTGGATTAGGCCAATCAGAGCCCGGAGCGCGAGCGGACAAGGCTCGCTCTTCGCGTGTCTCACCCACGTGAGCTGGAACAGCTATTGTACGCCGGCAGGCAACGTGCAGAAGCGTTCCTCTCTCCTGAAAAAAACAGCACACTCACGTTTTCCGTGGATTACAAGGGAAACTGGAAAAGTCGTGCAATTGTGACCAACCATTATAAAGACGGGAAACCTAATTGAACTAGAATAGACCGAGGCTCAATTCTGTAGGTTTTACAATGCAAAAAATAAATATACGTTTATAAATATTAATGTTTTTGATATGTATTATTCAAAGTTCACACTAACTAAAAAAAAGCATGTACCCATAATAAAACTGATTTCAAATATTCTGTTGCTGTAACGAGAATTAAAAAGAAAAAATACGAAAACAAAACGAAGTCATACTGTCTAGATCAGTCAGACAAAACAAACTGTATGGCAAGCTAATTTAGCATATAATAGCTTGATTAAGCTCTACAGTGCAACATGTTCAAATATTATGGTGACATAGTGTCACCTATGTCCATTTATTTTAGTTCTGATACCTCTTGAGCCAGGTGACTCATGAATTGATGACATTACTATCCCTGGTCAGATGAAAATAACTCAAAGTGACCTCCTCGTGTTTATTATTTGTTGGTCATTAAAGCACGTTTTCACAGTAAACTATGAGCAGAATATAGAAAACTGGTTTAGATTGTCAGTTGTTAAAATGGGAATCAAACTTCCCTCAGTCAGACGTGGACAAACTCAGGCAAAGTTGGTAGAAAATGTCCTGGGATAGAGGTTACAATTTAGTAACATGAACTTGACCACGAAACAACCAAAATTACAAAAGTACAGACTGGCAAAAGGCTAAAATGAGCACCACCCTCTGGTATAAAATGGTGGTATGAATTGGTGAATTGGCTGAGAGCCTGCATCAAGTTTATATACTGCAATAGAGACTTTTAGTACCGGTTTTAAAACCAATATTTTGTAGTCAAATCCAAATCTGATCAAGACTTGGACAAAAGTCTTGATCGGAGCAATGCATTATTCTGAAATAATATTCCATCCCGCATATGACAGAATGTCCAAATGCAATGTTTACAATTATGAAACTATTACATTGAACATGAACAGATGTCAAATAATACTCCTTCAAGTTAAAGATACTTGTGTCTTCGTGCATGTTGGCAAAGATGACTTTTGATATCTCTGTTTTGAAACATTGCTTTCTGAAAAATAAGCAAACAAATTTGAAAGAATTTTATTTCTGGGATTATAAGGTGCCACCAAAACATATGATTTAATCTCCTCCAGGCCTGTTGACCTTATGAAGGTGTGATTTCTGTGTGCTCTAAGTCTGAAGAGAGAAAAATGTAGAGAACCCTGACTGACAAGGAGGGACTAAGAACCAATATCATGCGAGAGCTCAGTAAAATTATTAACTTCATGTTGTTGTTTTTTTCATTATTTAATATTTGAGTTCCAGCCAGCTTTGTTTGTTTTGCCTCTGTGTACCAGAAACCCAGATGATCGGACTGAATTACTTACTGTCCATGATTCCAAAGATAGGAACAATGCCTGTGCCAGACAAAGCTGGTGTCTTTCTGATGAGACGATCTTGTAGTCAGATTGAATTAACATGCAGAGGGTCCATATTCACTTACGTCAGGTAGTTAGAAACCCAAATTGTCTGTGAGAACTTCAGTTTACTTTTCAGAGACATGCACATTTATAAATAAAGTCAAATATTTCATCCTCTAGTGATACTCCAAGCTTTTAATCTGTTCCCTTCAGATTTTTTTCTTTAACTAATAGTTAAAATGGTTTGTTTTATGTTTAATGTCTTTATTTAATTAATCATGTTGGTGAGATTTTAATAGATTACCTACTTTATTAACAGTGAGTTTCAATATAAATATTCAGTTTCCATCTTGTGTCAGTAAATTTTTTATATTTTAATATATTGATCACAATCTTTTCTAAGTGTGCAACTAAGACTCCCTGTGAAAAATATGTAAACATAATGGCCTTTCAATCTCCACACCACAGGTCTTTAGAGTACCCAAAGTACAAGTAGCAGTACTTCAAAATACTTCAGTAGCAGTAAAAAGTAACTACCCAACATATTACTCAAGTAAGAGTAAAAGATTATCTGGTTAAAAGTCAACTCAAGCATTGAGTAACTGATCAAAAAATGTGATTAAATATATAAAAATGGCATCATCAGACAAAACTGTTATGTCAAAATGACTACAAAATAACAGATTCAGGTTTTTCCAAACTAATACTTACCGTCGGTAATTCTGTGTTGTACAACAGGGTGAAGTACTTCCAGTGCTAAATGGCCCGGCAGACTCAGCAGCTAAAAAAGAACATAAGAAAAACAAACCTTGTACACAAACAAGAAATCTCACTTTAACTTTAGCTGTATGCGTGTCTGTTTCTCACTCGGTTTTTTTCTTAATTTGTTGAAGTTACTCACAGTGGGTAGAGTATCCAGAAATCTTGCTCAAGTAAGAATAGAGATATAAAAATATTACTCAAGTCAAAGTAAAAAGTACAGTGTGGTAAAACTAATCGAGAAAGTAATGTTTTTCCAAGTATAATGTAACTTACTACCCACCTCTGCTCTAAGCCATATTTCAAGAATATAATTGACTATTAAGTGGTTAAGTACATTAGTACGAAAGGGTTTCTAAGAAATGGAAACAAAACGGACAGAAATTGGCAGGAGTGATGAAATGACCCTGAGGCCAGGGGGAAGTTTGTTTTGATTTTATGTCACAACAACCTGCCATACACAGCCTGCTCTCCTCGAGGTGCGCACGAGGGTAGGTGTGTCTCATAAATAAATGAGTGATCTAGCCAAATCCGCGGCTACGCCCCTCTCGCCTGTTCCGCGAGGCGTGACGTCACGTGAACTGCCCGTGTCCGTTCCAGCTGAGCGCGAGAGGCAGAGGACGATCGGACGTGGACGTCGCGCGGCCCCAACGCAGATCCCAGCCCGTGCGCCCGTGACTGCATCCACCGGATGAGGAAAAAAAAAACAGTAGAGACAGAAAGAAGAAACGAGCCGCCCTCCTCCTCCTCCTCCGCCTGCTCCTCCTCCTCCCCCCCGCTGACGGACAGCAGAGCGCCACAGCAGAGAGGACAAGCAGCAACACAACTTGTCATCTGACCAACACAGAGCTATTCCTTTGACCGCTGCTGCTTCTTGTTTGTTTTTCTACATGCACTCTTTTCCTACGAGGTTATTCTTGCTGTAACGGCGGAAGGATTTTTGTTGTTGTTGTTGTTGTTTGGTTTTTGTTTTGGGATTTATTTATTTTTTCCGAGTCCAGGACGAGAAATTCGGGATACCGCTTCGCAGTTGTGAGTTGTGACATTTTGTTTTGCCTCCGCTGTGCGGTTTTATTGCTCTTTTATAGACGGTATCAGCCTGACTGTCCCTCTCACTGCAACGTCTCGATCTACTCTACAGTTTAATAACATCCAATAACAATGGAGTACTTTGAAGAGAATTTTTATACAAGGAAATAAGGATCTCTATAGCAACAACTGCAAGGTAAATAGTTTCACCTCATTAATAATGTCTTATGTGTATTTTACACAGTGTAACTGTGATTTGAAAGCTATTTTATTCATCATGAATTCATCTTAAATCAAGTTTTCTCTCTCTGTGTGTCCATCACCTTTCACCCCTCCTGCATACAAACAAACAGCCCGCCAGTATACTTGTCCTATTGGTAGGTTCTCTGGTCAGATTGCCTCAGTACTTCAGGTGCAACCCCCCCTCCCTTCCCTCCAGTCCAGGATGTCCAGGCAACTCTCCCAGCTTCCGACCCCTGACCTGCCAGCTGGTGCAAGCCCACACTTTGGGAGTTGTACTCAGCCTGCAGGCTCCCTCACTGGGGGCCACGTTAACTCCATAGCCGGTTTAAAGTCCCTCCTGCAGCAACCCATGAAGGGAGACCACCGGCTGAAGAATCCTTGTGACTCAAAAGGTGAGGAACTTTGTCTGTCTTTGTGTTATGCCAGTTCCACCCATTTTTGTTGTAGTATCACCTTGAAGCAGTTGATTCACTCACAAAGCTTCACACCCCAGTCTCATGTGCCAGCACACATGACTGGGATGACTTCTCCATGACCCTCATGAGTATTCTCCTGGATTATAAACCCGGCTGCAGTTTAAAGTTAGGATCCAGATTACAATGGAGTTGTTGAGATGTTTCACCTTAAGCTGCTCTGCACAATGCACACAAGCACCTTCTTTGCCAGACAGAAGTACAGTCATTGTGAGATTTGTTCAGGAACTTGTTTTCATGTTCTTGTAGCAAATTATACTGCAGTTCGACTACCATCTGGTCCATCTGGGCGTTTGTGTTTATGATTGTGTAACAGAGATTTGGAGAATAAGTGCATCCACCTGCCATTCTGAGTAGCTTTTGCATGCATTTGTAATCAAAATCTCTAAAACAAACATTTTTTTGTTGTTGCTTTTCTTCTATGGCAGACAAAGACAGGCTGGACCTAGACGAGGATTCTTTGGGAGTGTGCTCCATGAGGAATGGCAATGGGATAGTCAGCAACAACAGCAGTAACAGCTGTGGAGGTGGCAGTGCTGGAGGAAATGGCGGCTCGGGCTTCAACCAGTTCCTGGGACCTCTCATGTGGGATCGCACCCTGCCGGCAGACGGCGGGCTCTTTCAGCTCCAGTACATGGACTTGGAGGAGTTTCTGACCGAGAACGGAATGGGGAGCATGCACAACAACAACAGCTCCAGCTCGGCCCAGATCCCCTCACAGAGCTCCCAGTCGGCCGTGCCCAACCAGAGCTCCCAGTGCCTACCGCCCTCATCGCCGCCTGGATCTTTGTCCTCATCACCCTCTTCCTCGTCTTCGCCATCTCTCATTGGCCTGGAGGTGGCCCAGCCGCAGAGTCAAGGAGGAGGAAGCGACTGTCTACATGGTGAGTTGGTGGTTATTGGAAAAAAAAGATAAAAGTTGTGATTTGTTTGAGTTTGCAATTTTATTCCCACATGATTTCCATGCAAGCATCCATAAATATCAGCATGTTTGGAAACATGACTGAACGCAAGTGAAGTTTTTATATTATACAAATATTTTGTACTTTTATGCAATAGCAGAACTATTGCCAAAATGACCCTCATTAATATTTAAAAAGTGTGCAATTTTTTTTGTTTATTGCAATGGTTATCACAAAATATAACAATCAAATTTTATCTCCATATCGCCCATTTATTCACGCCATTTTTCACACAAATGGTTTGTGAAGACCATTCATAAATGGTCTTCACAAACCATTTGTGATCTGCTATCTTCCATAGCAGATCTCCCATCTGATACTTCCATACCTTCCATCTGCTATGGAAGGTATGGAAGTATCTTCCATTGCAGCAGCGATGGAAGATACTTCAACACAGCTTTTAATAGTTTACAAGCTTAAAAGGACAAAATGTCCCACGCTACTGATTTCAGTTTATTTAATGGTCGCTTAAATGCAGCCAAGGCTATGTAGTGTCTGTCATTTGGTTCTTCTTTGAGTTTAAACAAATAGCAGTGACAAAGCATTTTTCTGTGGTCTGGGGTCACAGTGAAGGCATGAGATAGAGTCACATGGCCCTAAAGGCAAAATCTAATTTAAACATAAACTACAGGATTTAGGTTCCTAGTGAAAAGTTGGTTGAGTTTTTGGGGGAAGCTGTAAGACCACCGAGGGATAGTACTCAAGAAAACTCTTTGGCTTTTTTGATGAGTCAACTCCACAGCAGTGACGAGAGGCTTTGCTGTAGCTTGGAATGTGATCTATGTACAGCAGTGTACAGTGCGATCAGCAAGCTCCCTCTCTCAGCCAATAATTGATGTGCATCAGGGTCAAAACACTGCCGGGTGAGGGAAAGACACAGTGAGAGCAGTGTGCAGAGTGTTTGCAGTGGTGCGTCTTTAATCTCTCCCTGCTTCACACGCCACGGCCATGTGCACGCGTCGGTACACGTGAAGAGGATGGGAGTATTGCAGTGAGGGAACTAGAGGCAGGGCCAGGCCGAGACGGAGGAGGAGCCCCGCAGAGAGGAGGGGGAGGAACAGAGCAACAGGAAGAGTTTCCTTCCCTGTGCTGCTGGGCTGTTTTTGCATTACCACGATTATTTACAAGTGTAAAGTGTTATTAGAGAAGACTGTAGGGATTGTGTGGAAGATCACCAAACTGACTAGCTTTTAATTGCTTTATAAGTTAAAAAAAAGAGGCTTCTGTCATTGTTAGAATGCTGTTGTACAAGTTCTATAGAGTTTTTTTTATCCATCACATCTCCTCTAGATAAAAAAATCCAGATATTGACTATCAGAACATGTGAGTAACAGAGCGCACCAAAACTAGTTTGCACATCATCCAGCATCAGAGCCACCCAGAACAAAGGGCACGCAGTTCAAGAAAACCTTCTACCAGGTGGTTGGGCTAACTGGTTCCTGATGTTGGGCTGCTGAAGCATGGCACAAGCAGTCTAGCTCTCCTGCTGTAAAGTGATGGTAATCCTGCCGATTGGGCAATATGGTCATTGTTTTACTGTGATTAAGGCGTTGGCATTTTTGAACACCGAGATTAGAAGTAAACAGTACGCACCTTGTATAAAACTATGCCCTCATATCACCAGCATATTGTACTGGCACAGTGTACAATAGATATGTGGTTTCACATGGTTAACAGGTAGTTATGGTTAGACTCTTAGAAAAACATATTTTTGTACAGAGATAGTTAAATCAGTGTATATATTTGTGCACCCATTGGGGTAAAGTAACCAGTTGTGGGCCTAAAGTTGGTTGGGGTTAGTGTATGGCCCTTTATTGGCCCCATCTAAAGAAAGAGATTTTAAGAAGGGAGGGGGGTGGTTATATAACACTTCCATTTGTAAATCTTTCTTTTGACCTAAGTTTTATTACAATATAACGGTTATTGCCTTGATAACTGATTTGATTATTTGACTCAGATCGATCAGGTTAATTTGTTGTTGTGGTTATAGTTTACACAGCGGAACAAATACACACAGTACGACTCTTGGTAGGCAGTTTGTATAGTTGTTAAGTTATATGAACACGAGTTTGTTTTTAATCTCCAAAACAAAAACAAAAAAACATTTCTAAAATTATACCCATTTCGTGTTATTCTAAAAGTTAGTAAGATGTATATTATGTTATATAATAGTGTTTTTTTTATTCGTGAAGTTTTTGTAAATAATTCAGGTACTCTGAAAAACGTGCGCACCTTTTCATGAAGGCTGTGTGGAAAAAGCTCACCTCTAAATCAGCTGCAGGCTCAGGAATGTTTGCAAGTCTGTGGCACTGAGAAGAGCAGCTCTCTGCTGCCCTCTGGTGGCCATCATGACGATGTTCACATCTTTTAAATGTTTACCACTAGAAAAATCATCTCAGTGTGAGTACTTATTTTAACTACATTTGCTCAGATTGTGCCGATTTCCAGTTTTCACCAATTTCAAAATTAAACTTTAGCATAGCAAATGAAAAACATGCTGCTATTTTTTTTTTTTCATGGAACTAGAAGCTTTGAATCTAAATCTAAATTAAAAGAATGACAACACTGTCACCACTGGCCAGTTTATTCACTTTAACCTCTGTAGGATTATTGTTCATTAATTAACTTAATTCATCTTCTCCTTTATTTCCAGGTGGTCAGACGAGTATGAACGATTCCTGCGAATCACCTTCTTCCTCCTCTTCCTCGTCCTGTCCTCCTTTGCTGACGCCCACGGGAAGCGGACCGGATGCGATTGGAATGTTTGAGATGGATCAGTCAGACATGGCCATGTCCAGCACCTCTGGAGAGCAAGACTTTGACCCCAGAAGGCATTCCTTCAGCGAGGAAGAGCTGAAACCACAGCCTATGATCAAAAAGGCACGCAAGATCCTGGTGCCTGATAACATGAAGGTGAGTCCAGAAAGAAAACTCAGATTCTCTTGTTTTTGTTTCTTTATTGGATGTTAGGTTAGAGGCAAAATGAAAAAGGAGAACAAATTTCAATCAACTTCTGCAGGATTTTGCTGATTGTTTGTTAAATGCACATGAAAATGAGCTTTCTGGGGTTATCGATGACATTTCAAGAGACCAAAATCTGCACATTGGATTTTCACTGGACAGACGCCCTCTGCTCAATAGACAAATGAGGAAATAACACTTTTAGCCGTGATTCACTTTTAAATGAATCACAAACTAACCTGTGATACAAATGAGTAACACAGTGCAGAAATAACTGACCTTCATAACAGATTATTCAGAAAAAGGCACACAGAGATCTCTGCTCATATTTAACAAATAAGTGTGAAGTTCAGAAATGTTGCCTTTACAGAAAACTGCAAAAGTTTGTTTAGCTGATAATCTGTTCTGTATATGTTTTAGCTTTAAGAATACATGTTATTTTATGGATAAAAGGTAAATTAGCGTAGCACCAAGAATCACTCGATTTCCAGAAACCCCAAAATCTTTTTCCGATTAGTAAACACGTAGGTTCCAACAAGACTCCTTAATGTGAAAGTTTTTACTACATTTACCATAGACTGTTAGCTATTTTGTTACTTATATTAGTTATTTTGTTGGCTATCTTTAGTGTTAAGAATGTGTAAGCACAGAGATGTAGGAAATTGTGTTTTCTACTGTGTTTCTGAGGTTCATTCTGGCTGCGAGACAGCGAGAGAGAGCAAGACCTTCAGCAGATTCTAAATGTAGAATGTAAAGTCTGCAGTCATTTGTCAAAAACGGTTAAATCCTGTTATTCAGAAACTGTTCTGACACACAGTGTGACGTCTCTACTATAAATAATCATTAACGCTTAATGCATGGAGAGTATTTTGAAAGATTTTGCTGTACCTTATTGTATTATAATTCTTCCAGAAAATTTGAAATTGGCCAAAATCGGTAAAAGGAAAGACGTTTGGTTGAGTATATAGTTTCACTACATCACAGTGGTCATCAGCTCTGATCCACTGGTCCCACAATCTTGCATGTTTTAGATACAATTTATATGATTGCATTCGTTTTTTTTAACCATTGAGTCAACTTTTGCAGAAACCTGATAATAACTCAATGATTTAAATGAGGCACATGGCAACAAGAAAACATCTAAAAATGATTAACACTGAGCTGAACTGAGAGCTTTCAATGTTACGGTTCTTTGGTGACCTTCTGGATGAGCCATTGGCTCCACCTTGAAGTTATTCTGATTGGCCAGCCACTCCTGGTGCATGTTTATGTTGTGGATAGTGACTGTCATTGTGGTTCAGTGGAGTCCTAGCTCCCTAGAAATGGCTTTCTAGGCTTATCCAGTATATCAGGACATGATGTGTTGCTTTTTGAGATATCTTAATTGATTCCTATTTTATCAGGGTAAGTGAAATCGAACCAAAAAATGCTTTTGGTTCGAAATCATGTTAATTCATGATTTTACCACGAGGGGAAATTATTTTTACACAAGTTTCACTAATTAATTAAAGAAATATGTTTGTCAGAACAAGCAAAAAAACAGAAGAACTTTGTAAGGGGGAAAACTGTAGATCCTTGTCTTCAAGTTTTCATTTGTGTTTGTTGGTGAAAGCTCACTCACATGCTAAAACCACCAAATGTCCTTCCTGTGTTTGTTCCCCTAGGACGAGAAGTACTGGACCAGGAGGTACAAAAACAATGAGGCGGCAAAGCGTTCCCGGGACGCTCGCCGCCTGAAGGAGAACCAGATTTCGGTGCGGGCCGCCTACCTGGAACGAGAGAACGCCGCCCTCCGACAGGAAGTGGCTGAGATGCGGAAAGAACTGGGCCGCTGCCGCAACATCCTTAGTAAATACGAGAACCGTCTGGGCGACCAGTGATGGAGGAAAAATCAGGAAGAGGAGACAAATGAAACTTGAGACTCCAAATTACCGGGATGGTTTGACGGACTCAATGAGTTGAAAATCATAAAGAGAAGGACACTGACGATTAAAACGATGAATGTATAAGTCAAGGAAAAGGGTTGTGTACTGAAGCTCAGGTGTCTTGTTTTGTTGAGCTATTAAAAGTGATTGATGGAGAGAGAGAGTAATTTAACTGATTAAAAAAAAGATGTGACTTTTAAGGGTTTTGTTATTGGAGAATTGTATATTTTTATAATACTTAAGAAAAATTTAGAGGGAGAGCAAATGCAGAGAATAATTTTGTATATTTTCTACATGTTTTGGACACAGAGATGCAGAGAAGCCATGGTGAACATCATTTTCTTTTAGATGAGTCTGGAGTTGTCAGCCATTGATGCTTTAGTCACGATGCAGCAGCACGGTTGAGGACGTATGTAATAATTTGTAATATAGAGAGCAAAAATTATCTTAAAAATCGTATTGTTGAGCATTTTGTGGATTTTTTTCTCGAGCACTTCCTTTTTTCTTTTTTTTTCCTGTCACGTAAAGGTCACTGAGCATGCTCAGTAGAGACAGAATGAGAGACACGAGGTGTATTCAGCACTTGTCTTGACCAGGTCTTGTGTTTTTTTTTTTTTTCTTTTTATCTTTTTAATAGACAATTTCACCCTGTCGACTGGTGCATATTTCTGAAATCCGTTTATATCTGGATCTGTTTTTTTTTATTTTATTTTTTTTATTTCTCTCTCTCAGCGCAGTGCTTTGTGATGTTATGGAGCCCTGGATAGTCCTGCTCCTCTGCATCCTCTTTGAATCCATATATCCATGCTTCTATTTCTGCTTGCTCCCACGGTTAAACTCTTCCCATACAGTGTTGTAACATACTCTAAAACCAGCCCCCCACCAGTTAGGCGCAAACCGATACTTCACTGTATTAAATAATCACACTTTAGAAGGAGAAACATTTTGAGTACCCCCCTCCCCCCATTGACTGGAATAGTGTAACATTTTCCCAGATTTCTGGGACAAACAAAAGCCAAGATTCCCCGTGTGGATCCACAGAGCTCGTTGCTATTTAGTGCTTTTTCCCAATAGCCACCTGTCTGCTTTCTACTGTATCTAACAACACCTACACAAGGGCATGGTACACAGTGTTATTATGTTCCTGGGGGAGGGATGACTAGCGAAAGTGTGTGATTTTAATCCCTTTAATGACCATGATGGTAGTTACCATTACAGCTATTGTTATTGTTATAATTATGATGATTACCCTCTTATTGTTATTATTCTATATTACTGAATGTTTTTCTTTCTTTGGAGAGACATGATCTGTTGCATCTAGAAACATCTTTTTGAGTGTTCCTCGGAAATACTGGCCCTCGGACGTTCACTTCTGCTCCGGACTCCACCAACACCACCACTGTTTCCTCCGCCCCAGTGGGTTTCACAAACTCGACTCATGGGCCTGAACGTGACGTTCATGCAGACTTATTTTACCTTCGTCTTCTGTTTTCGAGCTGCGTAAGGACTGTGCACACGACTGCAATGCTCCTCGGCGGTTCCGTACAGCCTGTATCATCATCTCACTCAGTGATTGTTTGCTCTACCCAACGAGATCCGGTTTCCAATATCCTCACAGATGTGGTTGGTGAACCTTGTAGTGACTGCTGCATAAGTAGTGTTCATGGTGCCCAACCCCTCCTCCCTCTCCCCAGCCAGTCTGAGCTGGCTGGTTTTGGATGTAGTCGCAACTTCCCAAACAAAACAAAGCAAAAAGAAAAAAAAAAAAAAAACAACAACAAAAAACAACAAAAAACACCAATAAAAGATTGTTCTCATCCACTCCTGCTCTGTTTTGACTGTTTCTTCACAAGTTTGTGTTTCACATTAGCTAGCTCCATCTGGAAATAAAGTTGTGTTTCTAGAGGGGTGGGAAAAGAGTCGGTCAAAGTTCGGAGTGATAGCCAGACTGTGATTTGTCTTGGGATGCTCCAGGGCTGTTCTGATCTTCTTCTTGTTTGTTCACATTGCACGCATTCCTAAGCCTGTCAGCTGTCTCACAAACTCTGTGCTTGTCCCTTTGGATATTTGGGAAATATTTAACATCATCGTTAGAGATGGTGTTAAATATGGCCTTGCAAAAGTATTAATCTCCCTTGAACCTTTTCATATTTTGACACTTAAAACAGCCAAACTGAATGCATCTTAGTGGGATTTTGTGTGATAGACCAGCACCAAGGAGCACATGTCTGTGAAGTGGAAGGAAAACATCTACTGGTTTGTATAAATCAGCTTTCTTTGCAGTTACAGCTGCAAGTCTTTTTGGGGACGTCGCTCTGCACATAGAGAGTAAAATATTTCCCTGTTTGTCTTTGCAAAATAGCTTAAACTCAAGTACACTGCAAAAACACAAAATCTTATGAAGTAAGATTTTGTGTTTTTGCAGTGATACGTATTCTTCTGCAAGTTCCCCTCTGACTTGTGGGCCAGAGGTGAGTAGTAACCAGTTGCATTTATTTGAGTAACGTTAAAAATAAGAACAATAATAATAAAACAAACAAACAAACAAAACGACTTTTAAGAGGAGTTCTACATCACCATACTTTTTGTTTTCACCTGACTAATGTTATTATGAAGTATCGTTATTCTTACTTGAGTAAAAAGTTACATGTCTACACTTTATGTTCAAGTGAGACCTCTTGTTTGGATACAATCTTTGTTACATTCACCGGAAGCATAAGACTGACATGACGCTGTTATAAACCTGACATAACACATATCATGAACATGAGGGAGTCTTCATGAATGTTTACGACTTGTAATGAAGTCTGGTAAATAATGACGCCTCTAATGCAAAGTTGACTCTTTTACTTGGTTTTTAATGTAAGTTTTGTCGCAACTTTGCATAAAAGTGTAATTATTTACCAAATAATCTTAAATAATGCACTTTTAATGCAACCTTTAATGCAAATATGTATTAAAAGTGTCAGTATTTGGTGAAAGACACTTCATGACCACAGTGATAGACGGTCATGAAGACTCTCTCATCTTCATGACAGGTGTTATGTTTATGTCATGTAATGTGAGTCTTAAGCACACCCCTTCAAATAAAATGTTACCAAAAGGGATTTGAAAAAAGAAATTCTAATTGAATTTGATATTTTGTTATTTTAAAAAAAATCTTTTGTTCTTTATACCAGAATTTGAACATATCTTTATATATTTTTTTCTATCTGATGACATCATTTTAAAATATTAAATCAGATGTTGTGATCAATTGCTGCTCAGCACTTGAGGATACTTTTCACCAAATACTTTTTTACTCCAAGGTATATACATTCTCCCAAAGCGGTTAACCTGCTGAATGTAGCTGAAAGTGTCAGCTACACCACAGCTGTGTTGTCAAAATAAAAACTTGTTTACATGTCTATTCATAAGCTTGTCAGTCTGTGCTGTCTTAACAGAAATGGGTGAAAGGTCCCTCAGAGTGGAATTTTCCTCATTTCTCTTCGTCTTCAACACAAAACAGATGTGAGCTCCTGGGTTCTCTGAAACCACCCCCCACCCACTCCCTGCATTGTCCCACCCTTTGTGTCCGTCACCCCCCCCCCCCCCCACCCTCCACCTACTTCTTTAAAAAAGCTGCATGTGTGTTTGTCCCTCACTCATATCATCCTGAGGTCTGGCTCTAATGATGGACTCTGCACTGCTGCTGCTCTTCCTCTGGGCTCTGACTGGAACGGCTTCCCCTCAGGCTTCAGGTAGGGCTCCTCTTCAGAGGAAAATCACAGCTGGAAATAAATTTCACTAAATGAGGTTTAATAAAAACATATATCGGCACATCTTATTGTGTCGATAAACGACATTACATTTTAATTTAAGCACCAAACTCCTGGAGTTTGCACTAAACACTCTTCTGCAAAACTTTCTAAAACTAGCATTTTGATCAGGCGATTGCAGATTTTTAAAACAGTCTTCTATGTATAAGACCCAATATCACATATTATAGACTACAAATAATATCTACATATTTTTTTCTGTGTTAATATTTGTGCATAAATGCAGCTGTGTGTGTGTGTGTGTTTTTGCCTCACTTTCTAGGAGTATTTTTGAAAAGTTTGGGTCCTGCCATGACACTTTCTTCTTGCTATGTAACATTTTTAAAGTTGTACGAAACTGATGCTTAACATGCGCAGCTGTCAGTGGAGGAAGGTGGTTGTTGCTGCACATGCAGCCCTTTTGCAAGAGTATTTTTGCTCATTGATTTATTCCACATGTTGCCACTTTGACTCTACTTTATTGGGATTTTGTGTGACACATTGTGGTCTGTAATTGTAAATTAGGAGGAAAATGATTCATGACTTTTAATGTTTTCTACAAATAAAATCTCAAAAGCACGGTGTGCATTTGCATCCAGCCGAGTCGCTGCTGTGTGTCTGTGACTCGTAGATCAGACGTAGTAACTCTGCACATGAACTTTCAAGCCTAGCCACTGATGTTCAGTTGGATTTAGATCTGGACTTTGACTGGGCCGCTCTAGCGCACGATTAGATCTAAACCTTTTCATTGTAGCTCTCTGTGTTTGCATGCTGTTATATGTTGTCTGTACGTTTGGTTCCTTTGTTTTTAGCTCAATCCATCTTCCACTAAACTCTGAGAAGCTTCTTTACCTCTGCTGAAGAAAAGCATCTCCACAGCATGATGCTGCTGCCAAAAACATATTCACAATACCAAACCTCTTGCCTTTAGTAATGCCTTCTTTTGGCTTTGTCTTCTTCTATAAGAAACTGATTATTTTTGAGGGCACAACTAATAATTGTGTCTACAGATCTCCAGGGCTCCTGTAGCTCCTCTGTGGTTACTTTGGGCCTTTTGGCTGCTTTTCTGACAAATGCTGTCTTTGCACAGTCTTTTTTTTTTTTTTTGTAGGTTTGCAGTTGTGCCAAACTGTTTCTACTTTGACGGATTAAAACTGTGATCTGTGAGATGCTGTTTGTTCATCTCTCAGGCTTTCATTGCAGCTGCATTTATATTGAGATTAAATTACACACAGGTTGGCTCTATTAACTAATTAGCTAACTTCTGATGCTTGCTCTGACTTTTTCTCTGTTTTTTTTTTCACCTAAAAGCCATATCGACGAAATAGAAATTTGCGGTTGTACCTTGTGAAAATGTGGAAAAAGTTAAATAAATATGAATACCATTTTAAGGAATAGATTGTTCAAATTAAGTGCAGTTATAAGATTTTCAGATGAAACATTATTAGATAAGAAGGAAGATTGAAAGCTGAACAGAAGGGATTAAACAAAACCCACCATGGAAATACTCGTTTACTCAGCCACCCACGCAAATGTTTCCCCCCTCTCCAAAAAGAAGACAAAAGCAGAACTGGCACACAGAGTCTCTCAAGATGTGAACAATCGTATGATTAGTGCGGTGGTGTGTGATGAGTGTTGGTGTCACAACAGGGTCGTGTGTGGAGAGACTTCAGGGAGGAGAGAGGAAAACGAGAGCCTGTCCTCGGACCTGCAAATCTGACGCAGAATGCGGCAGCAAGCGCCAGTGCCTGTGCGACGGCGAGTGTGGTCTGAGCTGTGTGGCTCCAGGTAACTGGATTCATTATGATTCACTGTGAAAGGCTTTATGCGCATCTGCATCTGCATCTGCAGGGGCGGCTCTTGCTTGAGAGGAGACCTGGGCAGGCTCTTTCTGCTGCAGCCCCCCGAAATAAAAAAATAAACAAAGTTCTGAAAAAAAAAGGAGAAAAATCTTCTCACTGTCAGGTTATGTGTTTGTTTTAAGTAATTACCAATATTGTGAGCTTACAGCCCCACATTTTTCTCCAAAAAGTCTTAACTGGACAGACACATTTACTTCCACACACCCGACTGTTTTATTTTTAAGGCAATATTAACTTGATAGAATCAGAGAAGATAGATTCTTTTTGTTATTGTTGCAATATTTAAAAAACAAGAAGTTTTTTTGTTGTTTTGTTCTCTCCTGAAAATAATATTTAATCAAAGTTCTGTTCTAAGGTATTTTCGTTCCAAGTCTGTCCACTCTGTGTTTTGTAGTTTTCATGTGTTTCCAACCTCGTCTTCCCTCTTTTTAATCATAACTAATCAAAAACATTTTTTATTTAAAAAAATATATATTGTGCTTCCAATCTGATACCAAAAACCTCATGAGCTTTTCTGGTGACGCCCCAGACTAAATAGCGCCTTGGGTTGTGAGCCCAATCGCACATAATAAAATCTGCCTCTGTTTATCTGAGCCAGCACACAATCTGTTTTAGGTTTTTTTTCTGGAAAATAAAATAAAACCCAACAACCCCAACCCCTCAGAAAGCAGAACACAAGCTTTTATTATGTATGTGTGTCATAAAGCAGGGCATTGTAATTGCAAGCAATTTAGTTATACAACCTCATTAGTGCTCTTTTAAAGTGATTCAGCTGTAACTGTTTTCTTTGGTTGCCATCCAACACTTCCTAAGAATTGTTTTGTTCCCGACCCTCTTATTTTCTGCCCTCTCTCCCCCCCCACTGCAGGTCGTACTTGTCCCTGGCCTCTTCCCGCGAGTGAAAACTCGGTGTTTCGCCTCGTGTCTGCCACTCCATCCTTCTCTGCCCTGCTCGAGGTCCGCTGCAAGCCGGGCTTTACGTTGCCCGACAGCTCGGATGTCACGGTTCGTCGGTGTCAGGGTGACCGACAGTGGAGTGGGGATGAGCCCATCTGCACAGGTGGGTTTATGGTTCTTTTTTTATATACGTCCAGAAATTTACAGAAAAGGTTTTGTTTGTCTTCTTTAGTTCTGACACTTTAAAATACGAGTGTGTGGCTGTTTTTTTTTTTTTTTTTGGGGCCAAGGAATGAGCATTGGAGTTTGTGTGTTTGCACCAGATGGGGAGAAAAAGAGAGAGGCAGATAAACATGACTGAAGCCCCTCTGTGAATGTGTCGACTTAAACGTGTTGCACAACTGTGACCTATTCTCCCCGTCACCATGTCAACCAGAGCGTTCAGAGACCCAAGATTTTGCTGCTGAACTGTTAAAGCGGCCCAGTCTTTATCAGGCTATCAGTCGCCTCAGTGAAAACAGACTTAATAAAAAAAAGGATTTTCTGAATGAATCTCATTCGGTTTCAGTCAATACCAACACTTTTTAGTTAAGCATTTAACTCTTTTTAATTTACAGCTTTGTTCTGAAATCATTCTTCCCTCAGACTAAAGGGACAAAATGGCAGAAAATCAAACTATTTGTATTTTTTCTCAAGGAAGGTAGAGTGAAAACCTCATCAATTTTAGTCCTTGACATCTCTAAAGTCTGTGGTTCAATTCATGATACTAAAATACTAAAGCACATTTTCTCTCTGTTCACTTCCTGCCTGAACACTGTAAACACAGGCCTCAAAGCGTCATTTTAAATACAATTCATGTGATTAGAAATACACCAACCAGTAACACACAACATCTTTGGTCTGTGATCATGAAGGGATGCAATTCTCCTTTCAACCTAAAACACAGGAGATATTTATTTACAGATCTAGACATTTATGTATTTTACTTCTTAAAGATATTTTACATAACAGCGAACTTGAGGGGATTAATGTGTGTCGAGCCGATTTGTTTAAAGAAATATGTCAGCTAAAGTCGAAATATTTGAAATAGCTGATAATTCTTCACTGATTAAACAGAGATTCCTGAGCGATCCTAGTTGGACAATAGAGACAAATCTTCATATGAGGAGTTATTATTATTATTATTATTATTTTCACTTTGGTATCTGAAGCATCTGTTAGATCCTTTTAATAGTGATTAGGTTTGGTTATGCACTTTTAAAAAGGGACAACATAATTTTAAGCACACATTTCAGGCAGACCACTCTGGAAGGGAGAATAAATCTTACTTTTTGTGACATTCAAAACCATTTTTTAAAAATCTTAACAGTGCAACAAATCACTTTTCCCCTCTTCTGACCAATTCAACACTTTGACTGCCTTAAATCAACATTGCTCTGTAAATGCAGAGCAATGTAAATGCAAAACAAAAAAAACATTGCACACTTTTGCTATGGTATATTTCCTGAGTTTGTCCTTTTTGTGCATGTGAATTCAAGGCATTTGTTTCTGCAGCCACACAAAGGAACAAATGTGCAAAAATCTGCGAGTAAACACGAAAGAAGTCACAAATTTAGCATCGTCCACAAAATGACAAGCAATTGTGCTAAAAACCTGCTTCACAAGTACAAATTGATCGAGAAATGTCAAAATGTTTTACAGAGGGAGTTGCTAATATGTGCGAATTCCTCTTACAGTTTACGGGTGGGATGTTACACAACAGACACAAAAATATACTCTTGCGGTTCTAGATATTTGTGGATTGTCGCTTTTTTTCTTTTTTTTTTCTTTTTTTCCATCTGATGAGCTGCAGTAGCAAATGGACCCAAATTCAGAAAATATAAGAGTCCAACAGAATGTCAAAATATTTTCTGTCAAACCGGCTTTTCACAAACTGGACAGGTAAGAAAATATCCTGGGGGTTGTGAGCTGCTGTGTGGTGGACAAAATATAAAACATTGTTGCTTTGTTGCTTGAACATGTTGAGAATAATAGAATCAATCAACACAAAGCGACGACTACAGCATCAAAGTGAAATAAATCTGACTTCCGACAACCTGTTAGTTTAACAGCAGCATTTTGTGTTCAACTCAACTGCAGTTTGTGAACCATTAGTGCCTCGAAACACGTGAATTGCGCAGAAATTGCATCAAATTAAATTAATAGTGAAGTGAACGGTCGCACACAGCGACTTCAAACGGATTCAGTTTTATAGATCTTTAATTTTTGTTTACTTATAACTAGTTTACTCTAAATATAAAAATCAATTATTCCGGCTTCAAATAAATTAGTCTTTTATTGCAGCAGGACAGTTCCACACTTGACGTGTTTTATCTGAGTCCATTTATTATGTGTGGAGACAAAACTGAGTAACTCAAGCATTTTGTCATTAAAACGTGAGTGTTTGTGTTGAGTTTTAGTCTCAGGTTGAGGTTTTCAACATCATGACAGCTGTCAGGCATAGTGGTGGCTCTGTGAGGCTGTGGGCTTGTTTGTCTTTTAAGGGATTATGGGAAGAAGCATCTTTCAATTGAAATGTTGTGAGTTTGACAACTTCTCTGCTACCAAATGGGTGAGGCACTTAACCACAGGTTTCTTTCCCAGAGACGAGGGTTGAAACCGAAGCAGTCGACTGGTTGGAGCGAAAGCAGTGAGGATGAGAGAAACTGAAGTATGAAAGCGATCTGAGTTTAGTCTTACAACTAGAATGTTGTGACCTTACAGTCACAATTTGGTCACCTGTTGGCATTTCAGTTTCACTGGTTTTGTTAACAAAGTAACTTTAGTTACTGAAATAGTAGGCTGAAAGATTTAGATGTATTTGATTTAACCAAGAAGTTTGTTTCTGATTGCAAATGCCATAGACATCTCCTAAAAGTTAAGACAAAGCAGGAACATTTTTCATTTTTGAGAAGAAGAATCTGTTTTTCATTCCCCTTTTGACAAAAAAAAAAAAAAAGAAATAAAAATGAAGAACGAATATCTTCATTTATAGTCATTTCAGTGTATTTGAGTTGCTCTGCTCAGGAAGACTCGACCTCATTGGCTGTAAGACTCCAGATCTGCACTATAGATTGAATACACATTACTGGTACTTGCAACATCTAATATTTTGATCAATTTCATGTTGCATTTACCCCCTCTGTGCCAATAGTTGTTTCTGCATTGAACAAGCAATTTCAAATAATTTTTAAATATATTTTTCAGTGTGAGATGATGCTGCTACAATAAAACATGATTTATTTTAAAATTTAAAATAAATCTGGATATCTACAACTGGGTGATAACTAGTTTTTTTGTATGTGTTTTCATGTTTCTTGAAATATAGCAGGAGGCACAAACCTAAAACTGCTCATGAATAAACAGAATAGTAATTTATCAGTACTTATCTTGAATTTTCCCTGACTATCTTTGGTCAACCTGTCACTGCTGTCAGTTTTTACCGTCTGAGACAGACCGCATTAGTCACGCACCTCCAGCTGTACCGAACGTGCTCTCCGAGGAAAGTCCTCATCCGAGCTGCGTTCTCTCTTAAAATATGCATTTCATCTCTCGGAAGACGTGGAATCAGGATAAAAATCGTCGGCTCGCTCTCCGCCGAAGAGAGACGGGCAGAAGGTAGGTGGGTTCTGAACGTGTGAGAGCGTTTGCGTCGTGTGTGTTGGCGTGAGAGAGTTGATCCGTGTCTGTTGTGAGGCGGTGGGCAGCGGGTCCCTGTCAGAGTGTGTGCCTTGTGCACAGCTTGCATGCGGGTGTGTGTGTGTGTGTGTGTTTACCAGGAAGGTATTTTTCCGGATAGATTGGATGTGGATGTGTTAGAGGGGTGGGCTGCAGATGTGTCACACTGTTTGTCTCTGTGTGTGTGTGTGTGTGTCTGTGTGTGTGTGTGGGCGACAGATCACAGACGGGAGAGTCAGAAAGCTCTCTTGCTCATGCTGCTTCAGGCCTTTCTCTTCTCTGTCCGCTCCTCCTCTCCTCTCATCTCGTTCTGCGCTCAACCTTCTGCATCTGAGGCCTCCGATAAGGTCTCTCTCCACAATAGGAGCCAAGGACAGGCGTGCAGCTTCGGGGTGTTTAGTTTAGATATGCCAAGGTGCACGTTCGTGCGAGTGAAACCCTATAACCAGATCCGTTTTTAGTCAGAAATGATGCATTTTCATTCAAATGTGCCGGTTTTTTTGGTAGTTTTAAGGAGATGAATCTAATATACCTGTTTCACTGCAGTTTGGTGCCAGAGACTGAGTGGGGGCGGCAGCAGTACGAGGCAGGAGAGGGGCGGTATGTGAAAACAGAACTTGGCATCCGGCTCTCATCTGACTCCAAAAAAAAAAAAAAAAAAAAAAAAAAAAAAAACCTCCCTCTCCCATAGGTGCCTTTACATTCTTATCTCAGCGTTTCTCCATTGCAGAGGCAGAGATCGTCCTCAGGCGAGAGCAGTCCCTGCCTTTCAAAGCTGCGCTCCTGTTCAAAACCGCTCGGGTCACTCCAGCCTCTCTCTGCAAAGCACCACTCTTGATATTTTTACTTGCACAAGCGTGAGGCTCTCAGCTGCGGGAACGATCAGAGCCAGGAGTTATACAACCTGAAAGCTTGGAGAGGTTTGAGGCGGTGGTTCACCTGCATGTCGAACTTTGGTTTATTACCTAAGACGGGCTATTTCTGCAGAAATAGAATGAGACGTTGGGTGAAACGCCTCTGTTGGGTCGCAGGAAGGTCTGGGTTAAACAAAACGGGTTTCAGGATATATTGGGTTTGTACAGTTTAGTAATACTACAGGGTTGTAGAGATGCGTCCATGCACGTGTTTTCTTTAAGCAAAAGAAACAGAGTTGCAATAAAACTCAGCAGCCAATAAAATTACATAATTAAAGTGTGCAGGGTAAAGGCTCCGGCAGGTTTTGTGGTTCTGCAGTGCTTTGGCAAAGTGTTATAGACACATTTTGTGACATGACAACCACAAACCTCAATACATCTTATAGGGGAGGCTTTCTGATGGTCCATCTTTCACAAGAATTACGACTGTTTAGTTTGTTAGGTAGTGTTTCTACAACTACTGCACATCCATAGGCTGATGCTTTTGCTCATTTCCCTCTGCAGAATACCAGAAGCTCTTCAGTAAGACAGGAATGACAGTATTTGGATTTATTGATTTTCAATTCTCTGCTGCCCTAAACCATTCAAAATGGAGGAAATCCTCGAGTCTGGAACAAAGCGCCCAACCAACTCAGCACACCGGAGTGCCAACTCTCCTTTGATTGCTGATCAGATGCACTTACGCCTCCTTTCTAATGCCATCCTGGGCAAACGCCCGTATGAGCCATATGTAAAAAACAAACAAACAAAAAAAATTGTTTGTGCTACTTTACAGGAGAATTTTCTCATGTAAATTTCTGCAACTAACTATTATTTTAGTAACTGATTATTCAACTGATTAGTCTGACAATTTAACAAGCGGTTGGATAAAAAAATGTACATTCTGCCTTTTTTAAAATACAATATTAGAAATTCTTTAAAAGATGCAAATATTTCATTGCCTAAATTGCAGTAAAATGGCATTATTACTTCACTTTGCCACTTGATGATTTTTGAGAACATATTAACAGGAAAAAGTTTTTTTGTTTATCTTAAATGAAAAATGTATATTTTTTGTACAGTTTTGCTTTAATTAATGCTCTGAATGACTTGTTCTTTTGAGTCTCTATTCTCCAGTTAACGATTAATTACTAGGTTAGTTGACGATTAGTTCAATAATCGATTCATCACGATGAATCCGATTAATCGTTTCAGCTGTAGAATTCATTATTTGAAGACCAGCGGTGAGCCTGGTTCGTTGCACATGAACGAAGTGAATAATGTCCTATAAATTTGCTCAGATTTGATCACAAATGATGTAACTGCAAATATCTCCTATCACTCCTTCACCTTCTTTGACACCTCCTGCTTTTCCCTTGAACCACAGAGGCTCAGTCACCTGGACACACTCCTGCGCCGACCTGCCCTTTGCCAGAGGAGGTGATCAACACCTTCAGCATCCACGGCGACGCCTCTGTGGGGACTTCAATCCGCTACAGCTGCCTGTCTGGGTGAGCGAGTGCGGCTCTGAGTTACACAGAAAGGAGCGGAGGAAGTGATAGATGGAGTGTGAAGGAAAGAAAAGAGAGGGAGGGGGGGGGAAAGGCTGGTGTGATGAGCAATGAATGGCAGGGAATTCATTTTGATCTCCCAGCTGATCATGCCTCCATTGAGCTAACTAGGTCATTACAGTCAAATCTTGTATCGACTTCCCTTTTACACACTGAGTCATCTCACAGGAAAGGATGAGCCAGAGTGGATGTGTCAGCCAGAGCTCCTGCACTCATGCTCACACACACATACACACTTTAGACAAGACGCACAAGCAAAGGATGCATTCACACTGTTTTTTAAATATCATTTTTGTGCTGCATGAAGCTCCTCAGTTGGCACTGCTGCATGTGTCATCCTGCCATCTGCTTCCTTCACTTTTCCCCTTTTCCCACCCTGCAGGGCGGATGTAGTCGGGAGCGGGGAAAATTTCTGTCAGGACAACCAGACCTGGATGCATCCTCACCCGGTCTGTAAAAGTAAGTGTGCAGACTGACCACAGTGTGTGTGTGTGTGTGTGTGAGAGTGTGTGTGTGATACATCACTTCGCTCTCAGCAGGACTTTACACACTTCTGAAGGTTAGTGAATCATGTGTGAGTGAGTGAGAGACTGAAAATAGGTGTTAGTTTGGAAACTGCATTTTCTTACACTATCAGCGTGGTGTAAAAAAAAAAAAAAAGACACACTCACACACCCATCCTCGTTCTTCTATGCAAACTGAGGACTAGTTTGGATTGACTTCCATTCATTTTAGTAGCTCCACTTATAACCAAGACATTTTCCATAAAAGCAACATTAACCCAAACTTAATTCACACCGTACCTCTAAATCTAACCTGTAGAGCAGAGTAGAAATGTAAAAAAAAAAAAAAAAAAGTCACAAATGGCCTCAGTTTGCAGGTAAACATTGTGAAAGTGGACCCATACCTCTAAACTTAACCTCTGACCTTAAACAAGGGGGTCCATCGAATTAAGACGGGACTGTGGTCCCCAAAAGGCTCATAAGTTTTAATAAAGTTAGTAAATATACCAGAAATGGTCCTAAATAAAATAGCTGAACAATTACACACAAACGCTTCAAGTGCCAAGCTTCGTTTCAAAGTCCTCTCCTGCCCTCTAGTGGTCAAAACTCAAACTTTCTGTACTGACCGGCAGGATGGGGGACAAAACATCCGTGCAACTCCATGCTGAAAGACAAACTGGATCCTCTTCCTGCAAGGCAACGGTGCTACGAACTGCAACACTGCGCAGCTCTGCAGAGACTCTGCAGAACAACAAATTAGTTTCACTATTAAATTAACTTGTTAACAGACAGCTTGTCAGTCCAGTAAAGATGTCCATAAATGCAAAAATGCAGTGTCATTATTCGCTGTGAAAGCACAAAACTACTTATTGTTCAAGCCATTCCTTATTTCCTACTCAGAAAACATTCTTAAAAATTCAGCATTTTTTTTTTACATACAGAATATACAAAATTTACAATGACAATGCCATGTTTTCTTTTTTTTTTTTTAAACATGGCATTTCCTTCCACTAATTCACAGATGAGGGCCATATTTACATACCTCCAGCACCTATTTCTATGCACCATCCAACCTCCATGAAATTGCCTTGAAGACATCAAGTAAGCAAAGGTTATTTTATTCATTCCTAACAGAACACCCTTATTAATTTTGGTTGCCTTGAGTCATTCATCAAACACTCTGTTACAAATTTGTGAGTCATTATGCACTCCGATGTTAAATTTAATAAAAAAAACAGCAGCTCAGTTTACAAAAAAAAAAAAAAGTCTTCTAGTTCAGGCAAACAGCAAAATCTAAACCAGGTTTGTTGAGGCTTGACTGAGAGAATAATACGGGCTTTTAGTTTATGAGGGCGTCAGTCAAGTATCTCTTTCAGCTTGTTCACAATGCTGCTGGTACACACCAACATGAGTACATCTCACTGACTCCCTTTGCGTCAAATAGTTTATTTTAATGTGCTAACATTGGCTTTTAAATGACTCTGAGGTTCAACCAGCTGCTTTTAGACCAAAAAATTTAGCAGAAACTAAGAGGAGATGGAGATTTTTGTGTTGTGGCTCCCAAACTTTGCAACACGTCGTCTTTAAAAATTAGACCACCATCTTTGATTCCTGTGTTTTTAAATATCTTTTTAAAGAGTTTGACCCAGAGTGAAAATTAAAAACATGCTGTTTTTATTTTCTCTGTTCTGTTTAAACAAGTATTTTATTTATTTATTTTTTTTTTGTGGGCATGTCACAGTAATAATTTTTTTCTGTTTCAGTAATTATTGCAGTAGACAACATTACTGTTGCTTTTAGACCATTTCCAAGTATTATGTTGATAATGGCATAATAATGCCGTTCTCTCAAAGATGAATACACTTTAATTTACTAAAGAACACTTAACACTGGAAGTGGAAGATATTTTAAACACCCAAATTAAAACACAACAACCAAAAACATTTATTAAAATGGAAACAACACACACAACTGACATCATAAAACATATTATGACGTTTATGTACACAAAATTGTCCTTCAAAAAATATTAATCATCAGAATGGAAATTATTGAGCTCATTTTAACTGATCATTGATTCATTGTTTATTGTTGCAGGATTAGCTTTATATCTTGGTTTTTGTCCTCAGTTTCAGCAAACCTGCTGTTTTTAAAAAAATTAATTAGATTTGGATTTTTGGATTTCAAAATTCAATTGAAATTCAAAAATACTTTCAATGTTGTTTTAATTGATATTCATTCAAAATTCTTCAGAGCTGAATATTTGTCACGCATTGGGGCCCGACTTCCTTTGAACTGAGTTTGTTCTGTATTAAATTTTTCCCAACATTTTCTCATCATAAATGATTATATGTTTAAGTTTGCATGAGTTTTTTTGTTCCCATTCAGCATCTTTTCTATTGTAATATGAATTTCTTAACAATGATAAAACCACTCTGCCTTGTAGAACTGTTCTGCCAACCTCCAAAGGAAGTGCAGCAGGGCTACGTGGTCGCAGTCCAGAAGACTGAATATGAGGTCGGCTTTGACATCCACTATCTATGCAAGAAGAACTACCGGCTGGACGGACCCCAGAAGATCACCTGTCTGTCAAACGGCAGCTGGAGCGCGTCTCCGCCGCACTGCCGAGGTGAGGAGCGGATCAGTGCGTCTGGGTTCGGGGAATCCTGAAATTTCTGAGAATAAACGTGCAGAGAGATGTTTTCGTGACGCTTTCATATTTTCGTAACGCAGCTCGCTGTGTCATCCCTGCTGAGCGGAGCCGTGTTGTGATTGGTGGGGTGAAGCGTTGGCCGTTTGATGTCACGGACGCCATGGTTCCCCACGGGGAAATCGTGACATTCTACTGCAAACACCCCAAGAAGCAGTGCAGCTTCACCGCAGCGCAGGCCTGCTTTGACGGGAAGCTGCAGACACCAGAGTGCTACCTTGGTAAACCCAAACAGGCCGTTTCCAGTTATTTACGCGGCAACATCGCAACCTTTACTACATCAGAGATTTTTTTTTTTATTTCTTATTTTAAACGACAGACCAACACATCTCGAACTATTCCAAAGTAGTCCCTAATTATCCTGCAGCTGGAAGGTGAACTTCTGCCTCTGCAGCCTTTTATAGACTCTGTTTTTAGCTCACATTGAAGAGAAGCAGTCCCACAGCTTGATGCTGCCACCACCATGCTTAACCATGGTAATGCATTCAAGATGATGTACACTTTTCATTTTTACCCAAACACGTAACTTTTTGCATAAATGTTTACTTTGGTCTCCTATGTCCAGAGCTCCTTCTTCCACATGTTTGCTGTGTTCCTTACATGAGTTCGTTTAGTTTATATGACTTTCATAAGGGCTACATCAGAGGAAAATACGGAGAAAAAACATGCAATGACTAAGGGAGACTGTGAGTTTTCATGAAAAGTTTCTCTTGGAAATTAGCTTTCTTCTGACCGGCACGTCATGCTTGGATTATTCTCCAAATCCATCAACCAGTGGCTGGTAACTACTGAGTGTTGGGGTCAATTGGAGCAGAAAATAAAGAATGGAAGTTTTTTGGCGTTTTATTTTTTATTTTAAATTACAGATTAAAGTTTAAAAGTCAAAGAGTCACTCAGAAAATAAGGTTGAAATGCTGATGGAAAAGAAAAAAAGGTCTTTCCTGGTTAAAATCAAAGTATTGAGAATAAAGTGGAAATAAAATCATGAAGAAATGGCAGAAACTGCTGGGTTATGCTAAAAGAGAAAGCATGTCTTAGTTATTAGATCTTATTCCACAGTATAAAGTTTCAAACTCTTTTACACAAGGTCTGGTCGCCACAGGACTTTACACCAGTTTCACTTCAACTTTACTGCTTGTGTAGCTTATTTTGCTTTTTTCCTCATTATATTGTCTTAGATCTAAAATGGACGAGCAAAAAATAAATAAATTAATAAATAAAATAAAAATTCCTTCTCATTTCTCTGTCAGCCTTTCCTTCATATTAATCTACATGTGTGACTTCATGTTCGCATCAACCTGCCATGCACTGCAGATGGAAATTAGCTTTAGTATCCTCCTTGTCTGGCCTGTCAGTTTAGTAATTAAAACATGCATCCCCCCCCCTGCTCTGTGTTGGTCCGTCACATATAACTGGTTAATGTTTAAAGGTGTTTGAATATTGTTGCCAGGCGCTACATTTCTCTTCTTCTTTTATCTTTCAGAGCCTACATGGTTGCAGTACAAACTCTTCCCACATCGGCTGGTGTCGGAAATCGAAGCATGTGCGCCCGGTGACGTGGAGTGATGGCCCAAGATCTCGACCCACCGAGACATGCATCCGTTTGAGAACTCCTCCTGAACACTCAGCACAGCTTCATGTACTTTTATTATGGTCACCTAGATATTCTTAGTTCAACATCTGTTTTTTTTTGTTGTTTTTTTTTTTGACAGTTATTGTGAATTAGTCTAAGCTCTTCATTTTGGGTTTAGGTATATTTCTGTTTTTCTTGCACACTAATCAAAAGGCATTGTTATTACATTCAAACATTACAAGTTATATTCAAACCCTGCTGCAGCTTGAGTTGCTCCAGACTTTAATCATGACATACGCAGTGGCGGTTCTTGGTTGCACAGCACCCAGGGCGAGTCGCCTACCCTGCTTTATCTGCCACAAATGCCCTCAGGTCTTTTCTATGATTTCAACAGTTTCAAGTTGTTTTAAAGAATGTTTGTAGTGCAGAACAACCCGGACCTGATTTGATCAGGATGAGGATGTTTCCTCTTGAACTGGAGATGACCAAGTGCAGCACAAATTACTTACAAAACTCAAATTGCAAATCAAATCCAAAAATTTGCATAATCAGTGCAGTCAGATTTGGTTACCGTACATAATGGATTTACTGAGTCCTCTGGAAATTCAGTCTGGGAAAAATGGGGGATATTGACATGAAAAATGTGGAGGAATTACATGTTTAAGGTATAAAACCAAAGATTCATTGTGAACCTATGGATATGCAGGGACGAGGATTTGTGAATGGTAACTAGAGGAGCAGATGGATAAATCAATTGACTGATACATTTAGAGATCTTGTTACATCCCTGGGATATATTTAAATCAAATTGCAGACTAGAGGGGAGTGATACTGCATATTTTGGTATTGATCCGATAACAAATAAATAAGGGGCCAGTATTACCGATACCAATAATGATCAAAATAATTTTTATTATGCAAGTTTAATACATCAAACCTCTAACATTTAGGTGTTTTTTTTCTTTTGAAGTATATTGATAAAACATTAGAAAGAATTTGTGCTAAGTTTATAAATGTCTACAAAACACATTAGCAACATATTAACAAGATCAACAGAAACGACATAACAAAACTAATTTGTGTGTTCTGTTTCCTAAAACAAAGTGTATAAAAATCTAAATCAAAACAAGTCTTTTTGAGGCAGAATTGAGAAAAAAAATTGGATTTCATAAAGCAATCTGAAACTAATATATCAATCTTACACACTAGTACTGATCTGATACTGATGCTGACTTAGTGTTGACGTCATCATTAATTTGGATTGATCTGCCTGACTCTACAGGTCGGAGTGAACAGGATTGCTTCTGGTATAACGTTTTCTCCTTGTGCCGCCCCTGAGACTGTGCTGCCCTGGTAAAAGAGCCATATTGTCCACATCAACAGCCGCCACTGGATGTATAGTTCATTAGCAGATGATATATTATCCATGAACTGACTCTGTGATATATTTCACTGTGAGATCTCTTTTTTTCTCTCCTTTTTTTCTGCTCAGTCTGAGACATCAAGCCTGCGGGGCTTGTGAGTTTTATATTTTTGATGTTTAAAATAAAGGGAAACGACGTGAAAGCGATCCGCTCTCTGGCTCTTTAATGCCACATGATGAAACCCTCCTGTGCTGCAGGTTCAACAGTACTCATAGGCTGAACATGGCTACTGCTCGGACCCGGTAGGCTGCGACACCATAGCAACTCCCTTTGACCCCTCCCTCCCTCAGCATTCGCAGCATCACCCTTTTACACTGCACAGTCATATTTGGTCCTCCGGAAATATCCACAGCTCGGGTAAGCCAGTCCCAATGCAGCGAGAGTATGGGTGGAGAATAGTTTTTTTTTTTTTGTTTTTTTTTTTTTTTAATGCAGTGTTTTTAAATGTATGTAAAGCGTGTCCGGTCCATCCAGGCGCCGGCGGCTGCTGGACAAGCAGAGACAGGAATTAGGCGGACAGCGCGCCGGGAAAGTTTGCCCCCGAATCTGCGCTCTCGGCGGCTCGGACCTTCGGCTCCATAAAATGGCTGGCTGTAGGTCCGAGGAAGCTGCGATACCGAGGAGGACGGGATCCGCTCCGGCTGCGAACTGACACGTTTCCCCCACCGCTCCGACTGACGCGATTGTGATGCTGCTGTCCCAGGTCCGACAGCTGTCACAGCGCACACGCTCCCTTAGAATGAAATAAATGGTCATTTCGGACCTAGGGCTGTGCGTAATGGCGTCCTACACGGACGGCTCTCCTCGGTTTTATCCCCAGTGATAATTTAGAACAGCCACATACTGGCCATCCGAGAATAATCCGAACAATATTCTGACGCGAAATCAACCTTAAGCGGTTTTTATTCGTGCTGCATTCAGGTGATAGAATGGTGCTGGAAAAATGCAAATTCTCTCGATTCTTCGCTCCGTCGCGTTTCGAGTTCAATCTCTGTTGGTCATATGCTGAAGTTTAATTGGAAATACAGCAAAAATAAACAGAAGGAGCAGCAGAAGGTTGTAATGTTGGGTCATACGCGGCGATCCTTATTGGGGAAGAATCCTGCACGATCTAAATATCATGAAATGCCAAAACTCTGGATGAACATTGGCTTGACCCTTATAATAATAATAATAATAATAATAATAATAATAATAATAATAATAATAAATAATCAATTTTGAGTTTTTGGCTAGGTAATTTACTACATTTGTTTAATTTTGATTTAATGTTGTTAACTGAACTTTCTATTTTTTTTTATTTTTATTTTTTATAGAAATAGGAATAGTTATGCCCCAAAATGGATTCTCAGTTGGCCTCAGTCCTGACAAGTGGCAGCCTGGAAGTCCAAAATGGCAGCCAGTGTGCAGAGGCACCGGGGCCCATGACAGAGGTCGCTTTGGACCCAAAGGATAAAAAAATCCCACCCAGCACCAAACCGGGTAACCTCAAGACCTGCTCCGTCAAAGCTGCGGTGACCATCATCAGCAGAGATGCTCAATCAGTCAACGGGGAACAGGCAGAGGTGGGCGGGACATCGGAGCCGGTCTCTCAGGAAACCAGTAAGATTGCTGGGATCAGGCAGCCAATTAGAGTGAAGCCTGGGGTGCCTAAGCAACCAATAAGGATCAGAATTGTTGTCCCGCCGCAGTGTAAGAGGCCAATCACGAAATGTGCCATCAGCCAGACCAAAGACTGTGTTGGGTCACATTTGAGGGGAGCTGCTTTGGTTTCTGCTGGAGGACTAATCACAGAGAACAGCAGCGGTCAAATCCACATATCAGCTGTTGGGAATAAAGAAGAGTTCAATGAAGATGCCCCAGAGGCAGAGGGAAAAGTTAAAATCACACACATGGAAGGGTCAGAGACTGACCTCGTCTCAAACACTGTTGCATTTAAACTATTGAGCCATCACTGGATTAAACAGGAACCTGCAGAGACAGAAACGGAGCAAAATATTCCTCCAACTGTGCAAGAAGTGGACTGCAGGTCTTTGAGGATGTTCAGGGAGGCGGAGGAGCAGACAGAGCCGCTGGACCTCAGTCTCCCCAAGAAAAGAGAGAGGACCTGCGGGCGCTTCCTGGAGGATCTGAGCTGCGAGGGGCCCCTGATCATGGAGGTGGATGAGTTCGAGGGAGACGGAGACAGAGACATGGTGGAGGAAGACAGCGATGAAGGCTCTGAGGACTTTTCTACTTCTGTCCTCACGTCTCTGTCTTCAGAGGACTGCGACAATGAAAACCTCCTCCTCATCGACGACCAGGGAATCCCATATACGCTCAGTCCGGAGGGACTCAAAGTGCCGCAAATCGACGCTTCCGTGTTGGGGAAGCAACAGTCGGATCAGGTTCAGGTGGATGAAGAAGAAGAAGACGGGTCATCAGATTTGGCAGGTTCAAGCTTTAGCCAAAGTTTAGAGAATGCACTAAATGCACCTTCTGCCAGTGATCAGCCACCACAAGGCAGTGATCAGACACAACTGATGACGAACTCTGACGCTCCAGCTGCTGCAGAGTTGAATGTTAAAGCTGCTCAGGAGGCTAACCTAGCCGTGCTCCCCTCTCTGTCCAGCCAAACCATCCAGATCCTGACCAGCCCTTCAGCCAGTGCCCCTCTCCTGCTGCTGTCTTCCTCTCCGTCGCCTCAGCTCTCCTCGCTTCCCCTCTCAGTGACCTCACCAGGTGTTTCCACGTCCATGTTGCTCCTCCTCTCCTCTGTCCCTGCCACATCTACTGATTCCACCTCTACCTCCACCCCCATCGCCGTCCTCGACCCCTCCACCGGCCAGCTGTCCCAGGTTACCACAGCCTCGGCTCAAGTGTCCCTTCCTTTGCCTTCAGGTCAGGTCAGCGCGCTCGGATCGGCTCTTCCCACCTTTCCTAACCCCGTAATCAGACTGGACGCCGGCAGCTCCCCCCTCATCCTGTCAGGTGTTAACAGCGTGACCTCTGGCCCCGTCCTCGCCTCCTTCGCTGTCCCCACGCCCGCCGTGGGTCTGCAGGACGGCCATCTTATCCAAACTCAGATCTGCTACTCTCAATCAAACCCAGGAACTGAAGCCATATCTGCTGAAGAAGTCACCAGTGAAAACAACAAGCCATCGACTTTTGGAGCCCCTCCTGCACAGTCGGAGTCCCCGACACGCGACCCCTCCGCTTCGGAGGCGGAGGCCCGGTCTCCGGCCTCTGAATCCAAGTTTGACTCCTCAGATCTCCACTCAGAGCATCTTCCTCTAGACGACCACCTCTACTTCTCCAGCAGCACGGCTCCTCCCCCTCAATCTCCTTCCCCTCCCATCGGACCCCTCCTCCCGGCGGGCAAACTCGACTCCCTCGACGCCCTCGACCCCCTCTCTCCGGCGGAGTCTCCCACCAACCTGGGCTCTCGCAGGGTGCTGTGCTGCCAACTCTGCCCGCGGATCTTCTTCTACCTCTCCGACCTGGAGCGGCACGCCATCACACACTCTCAGAAGAAGCCTCATGTCTGCCAGCAGTGCGGCAAAGCCTTCAAGCGCTCCAGCCATCTGCAGGTAACTATGGTTTCATTAGACGCGCAGCAGGAGGCTCATCAGGTGTCATTTTTAAGGGATGGCACAACTTATTACAGTGATTGTTTTTCTCTGTAGGGAACAGCAGGAACAATCTTGAACAGACTGACGCAGCAAAGATTTATTACTGCTGATTAATTTGCCAACATATGTAATAATCGCTTACTTAAACTGCTCACAAATGGAGGACAAATTCTACACCTTTCAATTTATAAAAGTAGCTGAAATTATGAAATGGTTTTACAAAGGGTTGCAAATACACAAAATGTTACTTTATATATATATATTTTGTCTACTCCAGGCGTTTCCAAACTTTTTACCACATGGGCCATTATTGTTGAATCAGAAGTTCTAGCATGGTAAGAAAATAAACTAAACAAAAACAAAAATCAAGCTAATAAGGAATTTTTTTTGGAAAGGAATCTTATTCATTGTAGATCCAGAACTTAAAAAGGATCTTGCACATTTTCTGTACTATAAGAAGGGCGTCTAGTTTTCGTATCCTTAAAAACTGTCTTCACTCAACAAATTTATTCTCAGTTATAATCACCTTCTTTCAAAAGGCTTGCTATATTCAGCAACATTTTATAAATTAAGTAAAAGTTGATTTGGTGCAGCAAAGTCGGCTTTCCAGTAAAATTCTCTGGATCTGAAAACTTAGTGATAAAAAAGACAAATACTTTGTGTTGTACTGAACACTAAGTCAGTAATACCTGGACTCTGATGACAAGTAAAATGTCTCCATCTGTATCAACCACCTGCTGAATTGGTTTGTATCTTTCAGACCGGAGAATCGCACGAAATTAGTCCAAGAGTCACAAATGCCCACCGGGCCGCACTTTGGACACTCCTGTCCAAAGTCTCTAGTTCAAATATCAAAATATATTTGAAACAAGACAAAACTGACTTACAACTAAATTTTCAACAAGATATAGGAGCTTGTTTTAATTTAACTCTGGAATTACATCTAAAGAAGAAGATATCACATATGAAAATATAAATGCGTAGCACATATGTTCTGCTCTTTAGAAAAAGCTAGAAAACCGTAGATTTTCAGGCCTGATGTACACACAGGATGTCCCCTGCGTGTTACATTATGATCCATCACCGAGTCTCACTACTTTTCCACAAATCCCATTTAAGCTCCCAGTGGATGTTGCTATGGAACATCGCAACTCTTTACCTCGTCCAGATCACATTATTTCCCTCTTAATTTGCAGCAGAGACGTTTCAGAGCCCGGATGCTCGTGAAAAATACGACAGCTCAAATCAAAGCCGCTTCCTCATTAGCAAATGTGATTGCAGACTATTATTTAGCTGCTATTTTTTTCCATCTACTGGAGGCACAGAAACAGCTAGAGGTGGTGTGTAATTCTCCAAAATAAAGTGTTATTTGTTTTCCAGCTTAATGAAAAAAATGGGATTTTATCCTTTGTTTTCCAGGATGTTCTTTCTCTGCTTCTCCAGGCTCTACGGTTTTTATCTTTGTCTCCAACTTGCAGTATTAGGTTTAGCCTGGATCTTTAGGTTTATAGCGGTTAAACAGCTGCAGCTTATTA